GCACTTGGAATAAAGGAAAATCAAACGCCAATTTCAAAATTTGGTTTTGCGCATGCGCAGTGCCAACTTTTTTTATTTATGGAAGAATTTAAGCGAAATTTGATACATAGGCACTTGGGATAAAGGAAAATCAAACGCCAATTTCAAAATTTGGTTTTTGCGCATGCGCAGTGCCAACTTTTTTATTTATGGAAGAATTTAAACGAAATTTGATACATAGGCACTTGGGATAAAGGAAAATCAAACGCCAGTTTCAAAATTTGGCTTTGCGCATGCGCAGTGCCAACTTTTTTATTTATGGAAGAATTTAAATGAAATGTGATATATGTATGCACTTGGAATAAAGGAAAATCTAGCGGTAGTTTCAAAATTTTATTTTGCGCATGCGCAGTGCCAACTTTTTTATCTATGGAACCATTTAAGTGAAATTTGATACTTAGGCGCTTGGAACAAAGGAAAATCTAACATTAGTTTTAAAATTTAGGTTTGCGCATGCGCAGTTCCAACTTTCTTATTTAGAAAAGCATTGTAATGAAATTCTTCTCATAAACTGAAATTGAAGTAGCACGTCAACAATGGATTGCCCATGTGCAACGCTATCTTTCATATTTGTTGCCGGATTTTTACGATTTTAACAGAAGTTGCATCTTACAAATGGGAAATGAATGCAAGTGGAAATGCGCTTTATGTAAATCGTTTACGATTACTTTTTAACTTGTTATACTATAGTATTATTTACTATCGAATCACTGACATCAAATGACATTCAGGTTAAAGAATATTGTAAATGTATTGTTTGCGAATGGCCTTCCACTGCTTTCAAATGTTCAAATAGCATATTATTAATTAGTACCAAAGGCGTACAGAGATTATTCAGTGCTATTGGCGTACAAGTAACTGTTAGTTAAATCCCAAGTGCTAAACGAAATTAAGACCAACACTATTCTATTTGCGTATAGGTCATTAATGAATGGAGCATGAAAAAATTGCAAATTAATACAAAACTGTCGAAACTCAATGTAAAACTAAGAAAAAAGAGCTCTTTGCAACCCTGACTTCTTCCTGCACCCCTTCTGTTCCTCTGTCAAAATGTTATGTTATGTGCTTGTCTATTTTGAGTGTAATAAGTGACAATATATCACAAGTGATTGCTCTATAGTTTGCCAGATCTAGGCTGTTCTCATTTTTTGGTATAATGTATGTGTTACCTGGCGTTAGAAAATCTGATAGCGTATGCGGTTCCTGGATTATTTGGTTAAATGTTTCGTTAGTTGTTGGTGTAGTGATGCTGATAGTTGTCTATGTAATCGATTCCCTGAGTCGAAATTACTATCATTATTATTTCTCCTGCTGAACAACTTTTCTTAGTAACATTTTGTCGTATCATGAACAAAAAGTGCAGTTTACCTGAAAAGAAAATAGTTTTTGCTGCACTGTCAAGGCCGACTTGATTTTTGAAAAATCCAAAATATTCTTCAAATTCTATTCACACCAAGCAGGACTTATATCCAGAAAACTCCAAAATTCTTAGTCCATCACACCTCTTGTAACATCAATCCAGGGACACACTGTAGATAGGTGGCACCCAAGTTCTATAAATGTATGTTTATAGCAAGCTCTATAATGCAGATCAGTTATAATTATAATAGCGCGTCTTTGAAGTAGCAAAATTCTTTTGATGCCAAGAGCCATGTCCCCAGGTAATAATTGCATCGAGTGGAAGTATCCATAATATGTGATATTTATTAGGAGTGGACCTCAGAGTAAGAATCTTACTCTGAGGAGTGGACTGTATATGAAATGTAATTCTGCTTTGGCGAAGGCGATGCTATCGACGAATCTTTCACGGTGTGATACAGTTTGCCGAAAATGACATGCTCCTTCTTAACAGACATGTTCATTATTATTGATGGTTGTACAGCGACGTCTTTTTTGTTCGTTGGTGTTCGATGAATATGCAATGCAGGCTAATTCTAACTTCTGCGGCTCATTCAGCGCACATATTTCAATAGTAATTTTTAGCACATTTTTTAAGAATTAAAAAAAATGTGCTATTGTTTGCGTTTTGTCCGTCCGTCCGGACCCTCTTCTACTGTTTTGAACTACTTCTAAGGGAATGGTCTTAGAGTCCTGGAATTTTTTGAAGTAGGCAGCCTATACCTTGAAGGTGTGCCAGACGGCCATCAAATTTCGCTGTCTAAAAGGGGGCCCCCCCCCCACGAATTATTTCCTGAGATGCTGTTTTTGAAAGTAAAACGTGCATAACTTTTACATACGACAACCAATTGGTCTCAGATTTTGCATACGCATGCCTTTAGTGGTGCCAAGTTAAACTTTGAAAATTGGGGGGGGGGTAAATATATAAATACATGTTCTACCCTTCATGGTATTCATTGGTTTGTATAAACTATAACTTTCTTGTGTGACTTTTTCGAGATCAGTGAGCGACGGGGCCGGGGGGGGTCTCAACAAAAGGAACCGTTTTCTACCAACTACTACCCTTCTTTCTGTCCTCTTATCAAACTGTGGGGGGGGGGGGGAACCTTTTATCCTTCATGGTACTCTAATGAAAGATCTCGACGAAAGGAATTAATTTCTACCAACCATAGCCCTGATCGAGTATATTCCCTTATACCTCAAGAACGGATTGTGGGAAGAGGGTACTCACAAAGGGAGATTGAGACGTCTGCAAGAAATATATCCATTGGTAATGTCAAAACAAGAGGTATTTCGGTTAAAAAAATGCGCTTTATCTGGACAAGAGTTGTGCACAATTTATACTTTTTAATTTCCCCATTATTGACTACCCTAATTATTTTAGAAGTAGTCTATTTAGAATGGAATGGAATGGAACATGATCCATGAAAAAATAATACCGTGTAGATTCTCACTACAATTAACATATGAACAATGATATAACACCTTCAGTGTAACTTATAACGGGCGATAAAAAATTAGTTGACGTCGAGTTACCTTTGAAAGTTCAAGTTAAGTACGATTTCCCATGTAAAAAAAATTCCAAAGGCGACTCAACAACTCATTTTTGATCTCATAGTATATCAAATTTGAGCAAAAGTCTCAAAAACTGCAGGAGATATAAAGAATTTGGATTCGTGGAAAAGTATGGAAATGGGTTCATAATAATGTATTACATGATTTTCCTAAAACCATTACAGCTTAATATTGAATTACAGGTTGTGTCAGAAGATGAATTACCAACGATCAAAAACAAACGTAAATTGGCTGAAGGCGACTATGATCCAGGTTCTCCAACTTCCGAAAATGAAACTCCCGTAAAGAAACCCGCCTTAGATGCTGACGTCGAAAAAGAAAAAGACGATAAGTCATCAAAACCGAAAAAATTACCTACCCTGGATAAGTACTGGAAAGCTGTAAACGACGATCCAGCTGATTTTACCGGATGGACGTATTTGTTGCAATATGTTGATCAAGAGGTGACATTAAGACGCTTTTTAATTCCTTCTTAAGTTTGTGATTTATAGAATGATATGGAAGCGGCTCGTGAAGCGTACGACGCCTTCTTATCTCACTATCCGTATTGCTATGGATACTGGCGTAAATATGCGGATTACGAAAAGCGTAAAGGGAACAAGAAGAAGTGCGAGGAGGTACGTATTTTTGATCATCTGATTTATGTTAATGTTTTATACCGTCACGTAATTATTTTGAAATCCCTACAGCTCCACGGTGGGCCCTCTGGCATAAATTACATATTGAAATACTTATTTTATTATTATAAAATGTTATATATTTGTAACATGTATTATTTAGATTATTATGATAACTTTGACTTAGTAGTGAGATAATTATGTGTGATGTGTTGAAAAATTTCTAAGTAACGTCCCAAAGTCGTTCAGCACCGTGTGATTAGTTCCTGTAAGAAGTCTGCGGTGGACCAAATTTATGAGATTAAAATGTAAGGATTCCATATATTCGATAAATGGAATACTTCATGATATTTTAATCATTTTCAAAAAATTTCAGGGCTCTTCAAGTTGGTACGTATTTGTTTGCGTCACACTTATTCACTTTGATTGCTAAAATTGTCATTTCTTTAAGACGCAAGCAGGTCCGTATCGGCTGTTTTTAGTTACAACTCTCTGACTTGTTAAATGTCAAGGTTTTCGAACGTGGACTGAAAGCTATTCCTCTGTCGGTGGATCTGTGGATCCATTACCTTACCTATGTTCGCACGTCGCGTCCCGACGACGAAGAATTCATAAGGTCTCAATTCGAAAGAGCACTGTCCGCTTGCGGTTTGGAGTTTCGTTCGGACCGACTATGGGATAGCTACATAAAATGGGAAACTGAAGCAAAACGTTTACAGCATGTTACCGCCATTTACGATCGTCTTCTTGCCACTCCAACGCAGGGTTACACGACACATTTTGACAAGTAGGTACCCTTTTATTATCAATCCTGTTTTAACGCAATATCTGCTTAGTTTCCAAGAACATATCGCTTCCCATGCTCCAAACAAAGTTTTAGAAGTGGACGAATTTTTGGCTTTACGTAAAGAAATGAAGCACATGCTCAAACACGATGCTGCAACTGAAGGGGATTCTGAGAATCCTGACGTTCCTCCCGGCGAAGATGAATCGAAAAATGTGGTACGCTATTTTTAATATTTTAAGTTTGTTGGATCACTTTGTCACTAACAAGATTGTTTGTCCCTTGAAAGTTGTTAATAATTGTGAGAGTAACAAAGATTTTGATCATTTCAGTAGACAACATGAATTTGTACAACTCTGCTTTTAACAGATTTTGTTTTGCGACCCTAAAACCGATGGTAAATATTAAGTAGATAAATCTTTGTTTTTCCCATACTATTATTTACTAAAGTCACTAAATATAGAAAGTACCGCAATCCATTGGGCTCGTGTGTTAGAGAGAGAACGCATGATTTTTGCCCAAAAATGGCGGAAGTTACCAGATTCTAGTAACTTTAATGTTAGCCATTGTTCCACCTGTTTGGAGATATCTTTATATATTTTT